TTCAAATTCAAATTTAAATAATCACATTATTTACATAATAATTAATTCTCAATTAATTATTTTTTTCGAGTATTTAATTTTAGAATTCCGTAATTCTAAAATTCTCATTTTGCCCTCTGTGTCTGGTAGAATTACTAGGACGACGCGGGGACTAATGGACCTATAATCCCGTGCTCCAATAAAATTAATAATCAATTAAACACTTTAATTAATTAATTAATTCTATTAATTCTAATAGTTACTCCACTATAAACTTGGAATTGCACTCTCGAAATTATAGACATAAATTACTCTAAACTGTGAAGTGTCTATTTGATATAGTCATTGCATATAGATCAATCTTCCATAAATAATTCATAATTAGAGCAAGGTAAAATCCGTTAAACAGTGATTCATAAAACACATTCATGAATCGGAGCTCCTACTGGTCCAAGTACCGAATCAACCCTCAAGAGAATTATTTATCTACTTCTTTCTTAAGAAGGAATGGATTCCATCTCGTGTAATAACATTCCCGGCTACCTACTTCATCATGTCTCCAAAATACAAGGAATAGGACTCAGGATCTCAGAATCCGTACCGAGTAAATCAAAAGACACAAATCCATAAATAGGAGTCTGTTAAGAACTCAGGATTAAGATCATCCTATATATGACCATCGGTAGACTCAATTAGAATTTCTATACTTAACGGAATTATTAGAAATTCATATTGTGTCTGTGTCCTTGTTCCACATAATCTCATTATGCGAAATACACTCATTCAATATCTCACCATATCAACAGTGCGGATAACACCGTTCCATTCTAAATGGGAATGACATGTATTAATAATGTTTTAATTAAAGATTCCAAACTTTAATTAAATTCATTATGAACATTACTTTTTGATTATTATCCTTAAACATTATCCTCTCGTATATAACACTTATACACAATGTTTAAGGTTACATAAATAATCATGGAATTTTTATTGATATTCATAAAATATTCATAAATATATGCACATAAAATAATGAATAAACTCTTTTATTAAATAAATAATAAATATCCTATTACATCTCATGCTTCTAGGACACCATTCCCAACATATACATATAGATGTATTTATATGTTTTGGGAAACATATATGTTAAGGTTTGAATATTTTAATTAAGAATGTAATTTGTAACTTATGTCTACTAAAAGATTTTAAAAAAAAAATGTTCCGTAAATTTTAAGAAATTTTAATAAGTACAAGTTAAAATTCAGCTACAGTGACGGTCAACACAGTAGGGTCGTCACAATAAGGTTGTTAAAGATTATTAAAATGAAAAGAAAAAAAAAAAAGAAGAATGAACCCTTTTTTTTCTTGGGATAGGTAGAAAGTATCTGTGGAAACAGATGAATGTCCTTTTTCTAACTATTAATGTCCTTTTTCTATTCAAGAAACAAAAAAGGTAAACCATGATTTGCCTTTAAAAAGAGCAAAATCATAATCAACCAAACCGTCCGGAACAAGGAAAAGAAGTAAGATAGCAGCAACCATGGAGAACCCGGGGAGCAATAGCATAATTAGTATAGGAAACAAAATATATAGTAAAGAATAATACACAAACAAAAAAAAAAGTATAAAAATACAGCAAAAATAAAATGGGACTTATCTTAAAAGAAGGATAGCTTATAGCATGGGTGGGAAGATCTTGTAAAGCGGTATAGTTTACCAAGAACAACATGTATAGCACAATAATAACAAAATCCATCTTTCCATTTGAAACTCTCATAAGGAGAGGCTAATAAGAATAGATTACTTTTAAACTCATATAGAAAGATTAATAATGATAAACTTACCTTTTGAAACTCTCATACTAATAGATTACTTGTAACTCTCATAAAAGACACTTTCGATAAATAACTTGGAAAAATTAATAATACAATACCAAAATTGAAACATATGTTGCGAAGTGGTATATAAAAAGAAACCAACACTACTTTAGAACTCTCAAAAAGAAAGATTAGTTATCTTTATCATGTAGCAGTTATTTTTAACTTTAGAACTCTCAATACTTTCTTCTCAAACACATTATCTTTTTGTATGTGCAGATCCTTCCTTACGCACATGGCTTCTTGTTTGTTTCTTTTCTTCTTTAGGCGACATTCTAGTACTTCTAAACAGCAATTCTCTGCAACGCGCTCTTGCTTATACATTTTTCTTTCACAAGTAGGCCACACAAATGCATATAAAAAGTTAATGCTGCTAGAGATTGGTAGAAATTTACAGCGCATATATACAACACATATATATATTAGACTTCTTCGCTTGTCCAATATCAGAGGCAGAATTAGCATTCAGTATTCACCACCTGCTCATGATCAACATTATTTTGGTACTTGTACAACTTGGCACACACCAAATAGTAACCGAAATTAAGCACGCCTATCACAACCACCGTCCAGTACACATTGTCAAGCCTCCCTCGGTTCATATCATCTGGCAACCACGCAGTGACCCTCCGAACGAGATCGATCAAGGCGGTGCTCAGGTAGAAAGCAATGCCAATCACCATTGAAACCATAGCAGTGGCTGTGTTCCTAAGTGAGGCAGGGAATTCTTGGTAGTACAAGGAAACTTGACCCGGAAAGTGAAATGCCTCTCCAATGCCTGCCAATTTCAGCTGTGGGAATAGCCACACCGCCAACATAGGGACAATATTGGAATTAGCCAGGTTGTGTGCTACCCTGAGACGCTTTGACTCAACTAGGGCTGAAACAACCATGCTGAGGATGTTAAGGACGTGGCCTAGTCCTATTTGCTGGAGGGGCGTCGGCGAATGGCGAGTCAGCTTCTGCCACGTGGGGCAGAGGAGGTGGTCGATCAGAGTCAGGAATATGGAAGTGGTGATTAGGACTAGGACTAGGATTGAGCTAGCTGGGATTTTGAAGTGTGGGCCCAGGTGAACGTCCATGGTTAGAGCTTGGAGGATTGTTAAGCTAAGTAGGATTGCAATTGGGGTGCTCAGGAATATGCTTGAGGACCAAAGAGGGAAGATTCTCATAAGGTTTTTGAAGTCCTCTACTTGTTGGATCGTGCATAATCTCCATGGTTTTGCTATTGACCCTTCCTCATCTGTCAAGTCTCCTTCGGTTTTCAAAGCTGCACCGTTTAGAAACCTGCATGGAAATTCAATGGGAAAAGTCTCATGTTTTCTTATAAATTATGAGGCCTAAAAAAAATGAACTGTCAAAAAGACCATGTTTACAACCGTCAGATCTACGTCAGAAACTATATGTTCTACATACTTGTTCAATCTGATGTTATTTTGACCGAATCCAACAGTCAGAAATTGGCCCTACTGTTAGGGAAATCCTATCAGAGTAGGATATGAATTTTTGTTAAAAGACTTCAGATTAACTTTGTGGCGTTGGTTAAAAGAATTTTGACCCGAGTGAGTGGATTTTATGGTTTGAGTGTTTCCTTGCCTTGACTTTGGTAGGATATTGAAAATCTTGTTTAGTTAGGGACCCTATTTCAGGCACAATGTTTAACAGTTTCTGGCGCCATATGCAGATTATCCCTTCTTCAAGAGAACTTAAAGAAGAATATGTATACTCATAGAGCTGGACCCCACATCCATAAGTACAATGTCATAGTGTGCAGCCGAAAAAGTGAGTACTCCATCTTTTTTCAACATCCATAAGTATCTATTTCATCTTTTTCTATGAAGCATTGAGTAATTTAAACATTGAAGAACCACAGAAACCTTATCTGATCAAAGTTTCGAAATCAACTACTGCAGCTGAAGCTTAGAGTTCCTACTTTGTTAGGATAAGTACTGTTTCTTGCTTAGTGTTTGTACTGAGGCTATAGCATTCTTTTATTCCTTTAAAGGAACAAAGATGGAGGTAGCTTTATGCTCTTGAATCTTCTTATCACTTCCTTTTGAATAAGCGAATAACATCTATTAAAATTACCCGATCGGAGAATTTATAGGAGAATTTATAAGAGTATGTTATATGGTAAGAAGCAAGGGCGTAAGTGCTTGCTAAAGGAATGCTTACAGAAGCGAAACGTTAACTACTTGAATAAGAAAAACAATATTTTTCATTTAGTTCAGTAATAATACGGTTAATCTAAAAGAAATTCTCTGAACTTTACACTAAATGTCACTTTGGTCCTTAAGTTTAAAACTTCCCAAAACTGACCTTGATCTATCTTTGTGTGACAAAGTTATGTCATTACATCTGCTAACTATTAAAAAAATAACAAAAGCAACACATTGAATTGTGTGTGGTGAGTTGAAGTGGATTGTAATTTCACTTGGAGCCTCGTGAGACAATATAACGTAGATTTAGAGGAAAATCAGATAGAATATACTAACAACAGAATATGAACATCATACCCGATCCTTCTTCAATGAGTTAATCCCACACTAAAGACCACTGAAATGTTCATTTTAACATCACTTGAATGGTGGGGGGCATGTGATTTTTTTCCGTCCAGATTTTAATGAAGACGTATAATGGAAAGACTAGCTCTGTCGGACCAATATTGATCAAGGTAAATTATGGAACAAATCAAGTGTCAGGAACCAAAGTGAGATTTGATGTAAAGTTGGGGGACTATTTTTGAGATTAATCCTGATAATAATCAGGCAAAATTTCTGTTAGCTCATATTTGTACCTGAAGCTCTTTGAAGGTGTCACATCCACCGTCTTAGCCTTCCCATGATCACGGCCATAGTAGTAATCCTCGATTCTTGATGAAAGCAAAACCTTCCTTTTCTTTATAGAGGCAACAACGACACGAGCTAAGCCTATGAATGGACTTGATTGTGGCTTGTCACGATGAAAGAAACGCTTTCCCAACAACAAAATGGTTGAGCCTATTAAACTTGAGACAACACATATGCCAAACCCCCATGCCCAGCTAACATTGTCCTGAATATAGACAATGGCAGTTGAACTTATCACAGCTGAAGTGTAGAAGGTGAAGAAGTACCAGTTGAAGAAAATCTCTTGATCTTCATGTTTGTCAAACTGGTTTGCACCCACTGTTGCCATCGTAAGGTGCCAACCTCCAATGCCAATTGAGACCACGGCTATGCCACCATATAAGACTGCTAACTGAAGCTTTGATGGTAATTTACAAAAGCTCGATTCCCTTTCGCATGTCAGTGGCCTCAGGGGGTCAAGTGTTGCAGTTAGATTTAAAAGAGTCATTCCCTGGAAAAGGTAAAAGGTAGTTATTTTCAAGTACTCTCACTTGATACCTAGCTGCTGGCCAAGGTAAACTCACGGGTTGTGTTTGGTAAGAAAGAAAGAAATGTATATAACATGTGAGGAAAATGCTGAGAGTAGGTAGGACTTTTGTCTTGTTTTGTTTTATATAGATTCCTTTCTCTAAGCCTTACATATTAGGAGATATTAAAATCGGGGAGGATTTGAAATCTCTCACCCAATCTATTCTATCCACTTAATTCTCTCCTACTAGACAACTACTGGTCCTGAAATCCTTCCGCAATTTCTCCCATCCTTACTTCGCCTTCTACTTTTCCCTCCTACCAAATAAGCTCTTGGCGAAGAATTCTAAAGAGACGAATTTGCACCAATCTATGTAGTATTCTCTAGTTTCAGGTCATGTTTGTACCTTCTTCTATTGGTATTCATTTTATTTTGGTGAAGAAATTTTGAGCAAGATAAAATTTATGTAGATTAATCTAGTTAACATAATACTACCAAGAGAGTTTATAGAAAAAGAGAGATGCTTTCACCAGAAGAGTGATGCAAGAAGAGATTAAGACAACAGAGAAACAGCCAAGGGAAGAGTCTGCGATAATTGCTCCAACGATGGGGAAGAAGTTGACGCAACCGCTCACGACGTTTGAAATCTGAGTAGCATCAATGCTCTTAACATGAATTTCCTGAATTAGATATACCATCAAGTTTGCCGTAAGTCCACCACCAGTTAGTGCCAACCCCATAAAGCTTCCTGGTTTTGAACAACAAGCATTCGTGTCAGAGCAAAAGAGATTTCTTCTGTTTCTTTGGCCATTAATGTTGAACAAGATTTTTCGTTGAAGAGAAATAGAACATGCATGTTAAACATTGCACAAGAGAAACATAATCAATCAGTCATGTGATAGAGAGAGACCTATAACAAATGGAAATGTGATCCAACCGCCTTTTTTGCCACCGGGAAGTGGCGTTTGTGCTTGTCGTTCAACAGAAACTGACTCATTAAGATCCAACTCTTGTGATTCTGAGTTAGCCATTTTTGCTCTTGTTTTAGGCATTCTGCACTTATATTGGTCCGCGTTAATCTTTGTAGGGAGAGCAGTGAGGCATCTTGTGAGACGATTTTAGAGGTGTTGAACCATCTTGTACTCTTTTTTTTATCCCGTGAGAATCTACAACAAGAAAGTAGATGTAGCTTTTAAGCGGGCCGTTATAAATATTGTGTGTTCTTGTTTCTTGTTTTTTGTTTTTTTTTTTCTTACCTTGTTATTGCTCTCATAAATTAGGGACTAGGATGTAATTCCCATGAGTGTACATGTCCAGATAATGGTGGGTATTTTTTTTCTTATTTCGATAGGGATTGTGTCATGTGTTACTCCTCAGATAATAATTAACAAATCCTACTTTTTATGTGTCAGGTTGACTGTAGAATCTATCCTAGATCTTGTAAATTCATAAGGAAGAATAATTAACCAATCATACTTTTATCACTCTGCTTCAAGCAAGTAGAAAAGCAGCCTTAGCTCTTTTTTTTTTTACCTCAGAATCAAAAGTGGGTGGGATTCATATTAGCGCTTGAATAAGAAATAGTACTAAGTGAAGATTATAGAACATCGTTACCAATACCAAGTCCAACAACCAGTTTTTTTGCTTTTGAAAAAAAAAAAATATATATATATATATATATATATTCAAACTAAACATGTTTCAAACTTTACATATCAAATCACAGTAGTTTAAACCATATGTTTCGAACGTATTTACTAAATGGGCCCAAAGACTCGCCCACTGCTTTTGTCATTAGAATATAAGAAAAGATTTGGCCTGAAAATGGGACAAACTGAGATTCTTTTGCCTCTTTCATACTGTTTGGACATCACGGAAGCTAACCGAAATAAAATCTAAGTGAAATAAGGGCAGCTAACTTCTTGCTCCTTCAGGGAGAGAGAGATCCGGATATGACAATTTGGCCCCAAACGGTCTCTTTTATGACTAATGGGGATTATATTTGTTCATATTCAAAGTTGTCAAACCAGTCAGAATTTAACAAGTCTTTATTACTCGGACAATTGCTTTGTTCTTTAATGTTATCTTCTTAGACTACTTTTTTTTCAGTAAGGGAAGCAACTCCCTAGTTTTTCTTGTTGTCTTCTTGGTGCCGCGTTACAAAGCAAACTGTACCCTTTCGTAAACAACAAACTTGATGAATCATGCGACATGAAGAAAAAAGATTTGACATTGGTCTCCTTTGAATATGCTATACGCAGAACAGGGCCACAAGTTTAGCAAATTAAGGAAAATTTTCATATAGAAAAAACACCAAACAAAATACAACAAACAAGAACAAAAACAAAACAAAAAAGACCTCAAAAATTTTAACAGAGAGGCCTAGTACAACAAATGAGCAGTCATTGGGGAAAGTCAGTAGACCCCACCCACCTTTGACCTGATACAGATAAGACAGTACAAGCATATAGTTGCGTGACCCGCAACTTATCATCTTAGTGTATTAACATGATACCCTCTGCAGACTGCAACTTTTAGATTATAGCGTTCGTGTTTATTGGAAAAAATGAAATAATTATACCAAAAAAAAAAACGAAAAAACTTGGTAAATTAAGCATTACATAGCAACTGATAATGGATTATGCTGTTTTCAAATCAAGCATATTCCGGATTGAGTGCGATGGCCTCCTGGTAAATCATATCTTTCATTTGGTCTTCTGACAATGGTTGTTGCTCAAACTCAAAGGAGAATGGCTCCAGACACACTGGTTCATCAGCAACGTCATGCAGTCTTGCCATGTAAGGATGGGCTAATGCTTCCTCGACTGCAAATATAATACAAATTTACAAATGGTATTGTTAGATGAACCTAGTAAAGTTAACTAAGGTATAATATGCTACTTGATGATGGACTATACAAATTTACATATGATATGTATAATATGCTACTTTATGATGAACTAGAAAGACATCTATGAGCAGATGTAAGTTTATTCAAATGCAAGCTAAGCTGGGTGTCACTGAAAACATAAAGCCATGCAGAAAGTGTTGGGATTTAAACGAAGAGTTAAACAACTATCAAATCTTAAGGTCAACGCATCATTTGCCAGCACCATCAATTTCTCTGTTTTGGTTATTAGATATTTCAGTGGCTCTAAGTCAGAGAATCTTTAAACTTCAACATGATGAGCATTTGTTGTTATTTCAATGCTGAGTCGTGGCACAAAAGTTCAAGATCATAAAAACAAAAATCAGAAGACCGGTATTAGTTAAGAAAATTACCAGTGATTCTTTTATTAGGATCAAATGTCAACATTTTGTCAACGAGATCTATGGCTAGTGGATGAACATGTGAAAACACTCTGCCTAACGGCTGACGAGGAAATTGGGAGAGTTGCCGAATGTATCTTTTTGCATCCTCATTCCGAACAAACCCGAGATCAGACTCCGTTGGTGTGCCGAGGAGCTACACAATATACAAGTATGCATAAGTAATTTCACAATAATTTTGATTTCAACACAAAAAAAAAAAAAAAAAAAAAACCCCTCATATTTATTCTAATGTCTTATAGAAGAAATCAGAAATAGTATATGAAAATCAGCAAAGCAGAGGTATTGGATCATTTTTTTCCATTAATTGTACGTATCCTATTTTTGACCATGCATATCAAGCACGGACTCAGATTGTGGAAGAACAGAGACCGAGATCTTTTAGTAACAAAGAGAAACTTCAGTTTTCTAATTATACAAAGAGCTAGGAGTTATAGAAATATCCCTTTATAGAGTAAGTATCTTCAGCAACAATTTTTCTTTTTCTAATTTTCTAAATGAGAGTCATAAATTTTAAGACTTTAGCCTATGGATGAGCACATTAAAGTCGAAATCAGATAATAGTAAGAAGTTCACATTTTCACTTCTATTTGATCTTTACCTCTGTCAATAAGCGCATCTGGTGAACATGATCTTTGCCCGGAAACAAAGGCTTTCTGTTCATAAGCTCCATAAATATGCAACCCACAGACCAAACATCTATTGCAGCACTGTAATCTGAAGAGTTCAGTAATAACTCAGGTGCTCTGTACCATCTGGTGACAACATATTCTGTCATGTACTCATTCTCCGCGGTGGGACGAGCAAGGCCGAAATCGCATATCTTAAGATCGCAATTTGCGTTCAACAGAAGGTTACTGGGTTTCAAGTCTCTATGAATAACATTAGCAGAATGGATGTATTTCAGCCCCCGAAGAATCTGGTACAAGAAGTACTGCAGAGAATTTCCAGTTTCAAAATCATGTCAGTCTCAATAGATAAAAGAACCAGAAACAAGCTGCAAAAATCACACCTGTATAGTACTTACCTGACAATGCTCTTCTGATAAACTTTGATTTGAACGAATAATTTGGTGAAGATCGGTATCCATAAGCTCCGTCGCAATGTAGACATCGGTAAAATCTCTCCGTACAGGTGGAGGAATCACATCTCTTATAGCTATCACCTATTGTACATGCATAAAATTTTCACCTTTTAATTATCTAAACAGCAAAATAACAATTATCTTTCTTTATTCTTTTTTTTTTTTTTTTACGTCCATAAACTGGCTACAGTAATCAATCCATGAATTTGGAAAAAAAAAAAAAAAAAAAAGAACAGCTCTCTTTTATTCGTTGTTAACAGAGTTCATTTTACAACAGTCCCAAGAGGTACATGACTTTATTATCTGTCTCTAATTTGGTGAAAATTGTGTACGCATATCTAAACAATTATCTTGTACGTACGTATTTAAATAAACGACTGCAAAAACGTGAGTATAGATCACACCAGGAAAAATCACAGAAAAATTCACTTATCAAAGTTCTTTATTTTAGAGCTCTCAAGCTTGTCAACGCATACATGCAAGCGTGTATGTGTATCCTATAGATATATAAAAAGGCGCGATAAGCTAGCAGGAGTCAATGGACCTGCTAGCTAATAGAAAGATATCAATAAGATAAAGATATCAATCTTATATTCTTTCAAATACACATATCATATCAATCTCGTGCTCTTTTAATAGAAAGATATATATATAAATCTATATATGCAGATGAATTGTATAGCAAGACTTGTTATACTGACATTTTCGTGGTCCAGATGCCGAAGCAGCTTAATCTCCCGAAGCGTGCGCTTCGCATCCATGTGATTATCAAACGCGTTGGCTATTTTCTTGATCGCAACCACCTCGTTCGTCTCCGAATTCAGCACCGAGCTTCGAATCGGAATCAAACCAGAAAACTCAAATTAATCAAGGAAAACAAGCTCACAACTATTCAACTATCCAAAGACCATGAAGATTAAGAAATTGAGGTCGAATTTCAGCCAAAGACATACCAGACGATTCCGTAGGCGCCGCGACCAATAGGCATGATCGGAGGGCGGTACTTGTTGGTGATCTCGAATAGGTTTCCGAAGATGTTGTACTGAATGTATTGGCCTCCGTACGACGCAACAGCCGGGAATTCCGTGTACTGCTGGTGGGCGGCGGCGGCGCCGTTGCCGTGTGCGGCGTCAGCCATCTTCGTGAAGTACGATGCTCTGATGATCACAGGAATTACTCTCTGACTTAATTTCTCTCTCAATCTCTTTGTCTCTCTCTAACTTTCTCTCTCTAGAAGTCGTCGAAGACCGAATTGTGAAGACGAACACGACGAGAGATCCTTCGACAGCGAGGCTTTTAAACCAAATCCAGCGAGAAATTGAGAGAAAGATTTTTTTTTTTTTTTGTTTTCAGTTCGGAGTAAATGCGAGGAGGGAATCAGGAAAACGCGCGCGAGAGGGAATTGGAGTACGCGTTTTGTCTGAAGAAGGAAATTGGAGGGCTGAGATCATAGCCGCCTTAGATTGACGGTCGTGATCTGCCAGAACTATTCAACGGTCGTTCTTGTCAGACTGTTTTATTTATTCAATTTTTTTGTTTAGGATTGAAGATAATAATTTTTATTGCAAGCTACATAGTATAGCGTTTGGACTACGTAGACCATTATTATAGAATACGATTTTTTATTACGATGATGTTTGAGAAATAGTTCAGAGAATTGTATTTGAGATTGTGGATAAATAAATAGGAATATGTACGTCTAATAGCTTCATGGAATTTACAACAATATAAGAATCAGGGCGTTTGGTATGGGATAATCATAAGAAATCATATTCCCAAAAAAGTGATGGAAGGTAATATGATTCCTAAGATTAATACATTATTGTGTTTGGTTCCATACAGAAATCTTTCTTAAATTCCTAGAAATATTACATTACTGTGTTTGGTTGTGCATGGAAATATTGTGAATTAAAAAATATTTTTTTAAATGAATAATAATAATAATAATAATTTTATTATTATTATAATTATTATTGTTATTATTATTATAATTATAATTATAATTATAATAATAATAATTATTATTATTATTATTAAATCATGGCTTCAATAATGTCTCAAAAGTAGAAACAGTCATGACC